AGTTTAGAAAATATTGCTCCAGTATTAGACCCTGCACACGAGACCATTTTTTTTTTAAAGTCCATATTCGCGGGTGCACAGTAAATTAGCTTTCCGCGTGAGTGAAACGAATTTTACATCAGATAAATTATATTATTCAACCTTAAAGAGGATATATAACACACAGTTTTAGCAAGCTTGAACGCGCCAGAATCGCATTTTAAAAACGCGCAAAAAGCGTAACCTCTCATTGCCGCATTAGGACCGCAGCTTTTACAATAAACAGAAACGTTTGTACGGTGATGTAAAGCCATCTCGAAGTGACACACATTGGGAAATCTATAACGCAGTTGAGGATGCTGATAAATTAGCCATCAAGGACACACAAAAAAAAATTTTTAATGTGACCTTACCCTCCCTGTTACTTAATGGTTGTGAATGGAAACAAAAGGAGCGTACTTGCGCTCACTGAAAATAATGGTGATGTTACTTCAAATGATGTCTTTGCCTCCATTCTATATTATATATTTATAAAAGCGCTTTGTAAAAGTGAAGACTGCTGCCACCTTATGTACCCTAATTATGACTTTGTTTCCAATGGATTCATTTGTTATTCGCTACGACCAGACTGTAAAGCTGCTTTATGACCTAAAAATATCTTCTTTTGATGTTGGCAGTATAAACTCCACACTTCTTCAGTATACCAAAAATTGTATCTCGATGTATTTTTCTCAAGAGTTTTTAACACTCTTTCGCTTTTGGTGTATTACCTGAATAGTGAAAAATAGGGAAGGCGGTTCGACTTCGTAAGCCTGGTGATAAAAATAGCCCTCTTACCTGCCGACCCATTTTTATAATCAGCACACCTCGCTAACGTTTAAAGCACATAACATTAATTATGTTGGTTAACTACTTAGACTCCAATACTTTTCCCCGCACAACATAGCTTTCGTAAATCCCTTTTTTGCGAGACTCAACTACTCACATTAACTAATGACTGCTCTCGATACTTGACCGTGGATCTCAAATTGACTGCGTCTTTTTTGGTTTTTACTGTTTTGGAATACATATCTTAACTAGTCGTTCTCAGTTCGGTAATGCTAACAATGTAAACTCCTCTCTCAAAACTGTCCCTTCTGCTGTTTCGGAAGGTCTGTTTTGGCGCCCTTATTGTTTTTAATTTACGTATATGCCTTACCATTGTGTGTATGTTCAACCCTCAGCCTCTTCGCTGAAGCTTGTGTAACTCGTCGTAAAGTTACCAATGGTACTGACATCACATTCCTTCAATATTAATTACAAGCGGTGGATGAATAGTGTGGCTTGTGAGAAAGGTATCTTAATACTAACAAATGTAAAGTTATAAAAAATCTCTCGTCGAATCGCTACACCTCGCATTTACTCAATCTCTGACATTCCTCTTGAATCTCAAACCTGCTGCAAGTACGTTGGTGTAAACAACGCTTCTAACGTGTCATGAGAAACGGATATTGATGACATTATCGCTAACGCTAGTTCTATGTTTGGTTACTTAAAAAAAAATCGTTACGTTAGCCCCACTCTCTTTAAAACTAACAATGTATAAAAATACTTGCAGATTCCAAACTAGACTGTGCCGGAGCAATCTGGAATCCAGATTTCGCAACATTCGTGACTGAACTTAAAGCCTTACAAAATCCCGGCACCCGCTTTATATTTACTACCACCACACAGCTACTATCTCAATTATAGAAACTAATTTATCACTTCCTCCTCTTTCCTTAGGCCGAAAAAACAATCGCCCTAGTATCCTTTATACAATTTATCCCTCCCATACTGAATTAAAAGATGAACTCACTTTAAATCCAGTTTTTATTCCACCGCGCGTAGTTCATTAATTTAAAGTTGGAATTCCTCGTTGCGTTACTTCTGCTTATTAAAACTAATTAATTTCCCAGCGGAACCACCTTTCGGTACACGTAGTAAACAAACCATACTTTGATTTATATAATATTGAGGTGACTGCCTACTTATGTTAATGTTATAAGCTCCCTATATGCTTTGTTTTATAATTTATAACTTATTTTCATTTTTTAAATATATTGTACGGTTTTAGCGCCCTGCTTATACTGTCTGTATATTCGTGATTGTACTATATTTTGTTTGTCCCCCTCTCCTATGTAATACCTTTGGGCCTCTAGATTACAAAAATAAATAAATAAATGAAATTAATAAACAGGTTCTGGACGCGTGTTTCTCACCACGAGACGCGAGGAGGGTGAGGTCTTTTTTGTTAGAAGTGTTTTCCAAAGCATGCACCAAGGACGATTGCCGCTTCACTGCCACGAATAACCTTGCTACTTTTTGGACCACCGGGGCGGAAACGTTAACTTTCTCAGGGAAGGATTTGAAATGATGCCATGGAGGAAGAAATGATTTTTTTTTTTTTTTTTACCATTTTGAGGCAGTTTGCAAAACGCGACTTAGTGTGTATTTAAGCTAAAAAAACAACATAAAGTAACAAGTAAAGTTATTTGAAAAACGACACGCTGAAATACTAACGCAAATGCTCTATTCCAAAGTCATTGAAGCAAGTAAGAAGAACCTTAGCAGTGCGTTACTGAGAAAAGTAATGCGTTACCAGTAACGCCGTTACTTGTAACGCGTTACTTAAAAAAAAACATACCGCGACGATGTAAACCACCAGATCATCATCGTATCAACACGTGTCCAAATAGGCTATCTCGTTTTTCTGCAAGAACAGAACTTTGACTTCCGGAGTTGTTTTCCTTCTGTGTATTTATTTCATATGCCTCCAACAATTCCCTAGCTGTCTCATCAGTTCCTTTACCAATGATTGTGATGCTGCCGAAAAGAGGACGCCACAAACAAGGGCCGTAGTGCAAAAGTAAAGTACAACCCCCCCCCCCCCCCCCCGCAGTTGATCGAAGCGCCCAATCACGCTTCCTTAATGCACCCGCCCGTTTTTATAATTTAGACCCTCCCAAATAGGACAAACGAGCCGGTGCATTAGTGATAAACCAAGTTGTTTGTGTCACCCTTCTTTCGACAACATCACTATCATTGGGAAAGGAGCTTATAAGACAGTTGGGGAATTATTAGTCATATGAAATAAATAACTACACTTTGTTTCAGCTTCCGTCTGAGGACAGCCAAAGCTACGTGTGGCCGGAGCCATTCACACGCCGGCAATAGGTTACGCGATCTCGCCTGCACTTTTGTATCATTGCGCTGCGCCGCTGGTCGCCCGCACCGCCCGCGCTCGCCGAGTATTTCGTCTGCTACGGGTGTATCAATGGTACCGTCTGCTACAGGTCTAAAAAGTGCCCTTTCACGTTCTGAAATTTAATCACTGGATATGTCAGTGCGTAGGCTGGCCGCTGGCGTCTGTGTCCGAGCTTTCCACCTGTTCGAAATTTCGCTGTAGTTTCGAGATGTTGGTACACATTGTAAGGTGCCCGATGACCCGGCCGTTGATGTTTCCTAGTATTGTCTGGATATACCAGGGCTGGAGGCGCTGTCCTTTCCGCCAGGTTCTCGGGGTTCAATATGATCGGCAGGTTAAGAAGTGCCCTGATTCCGCCGCGTATCATTGAATGGTAGTGGACCGGACGCTTTTCTTGTTTACAACGCATTCGCGGTAGAGTCTCCTGCCGAATTTGAAAGTGGAGATTCATCACGATCTCTCGCTCCTGTCGCCCAAACGTGCCGTTTTGAAAGAACGCTTTGAAGCGACTCGGCGAGGAAGGCAGTGAAGCGCATGATTCGGCCATTACGGGAACGAAATCACACAGAAAAACCGAGCGCTGCAGCCGTGTTGCCAGTAGACGAACGTGTTTTCACCAAACCACATGAATTTACATATATTAATAAAAACATAAATTTCAGACATTTTATTCCTTTAGTTGGAAATCGTTCTCAGCAGTACACATCTGGAATATTGTACAATGCTTACGCACAAAACAGTTATTAAAAAAAAAAACTCTTGCGGGCTACATTGAGGTGCGCAAGAATGCTCTTCTCGAAGTTGCGAACCGTCCCTCAGCCTTTGGTTGCGCTCGGACGGAAGCTGAAACGAAGTATAGGAAGAAAACAACTGCGTAAGCCATACTTCTGTTTACTATCACAAAGAAATAGTCTGCTCGACAAGTGCTGACTTGATGAGTGTTTGGTTGTTTACTTTGTTGGGTGTTTTTCAATAAATATTTAGTGGTCAGTCAGAGCTCGTCCTGCTACGTCTTTCCCGTTTTCGTAGTTTTTCTCGCTTTTTAATATATTTCTTGTCACGAGACCAAATCGAATGCTCACGCAATGCTCGTGTCTACTATTTGAGCCAAATTTAATTATTGTTAACGTGGGGATCGTAAAGCTTGATGGGAAAATCCCGAGGATCGCGTTGTTGACAACGCCAACAATACAATCCCCACGACTTTGTCATCGAGCTTTATGAAGAAGAGACTAAAAGAAAACGACCCCTTTATCCTTGAAATCTAACCGCAGCAAACAAGCTTCATGGTCAGTGCAAGTATACTTGGGTTCCATAGGCCAGTATTGTTGAAAGCGAGAAACATTTATACCCAATATATCGTTGCAGGGCGCCTTTAAAGAAATGCCACCGCTTTTAAAACGGCGCACCAAACGACCACATATAATACAATAGTCGGACAGTTCAGCACCAATAACCTATATTCGGAACCAGTCTCTGCACGCGAAAGAAAGTGGACTGTATCCATAATCTCTTTCCCAGCGTGAGAGAACGCAAGAAGCGACGCATACGGCAAATTATCGTGGCCGCTTGCTCGGTTTTTACAGGTCAAAGTCCCATCGCTTTACTGGTACTCTTAAAACAAAAAAAAACAAAAAAAAGAATCTGAGTTGTGACAGAGCTGATAAGTCGACGTTCGCGGCGAGGGTGCCAAAGAGGTTGGTAACGTGCCCCTTATCGTCTCCGTGCTGATTGTGAGCCGGGTCTATGCGAAGAGCGAGCGAGACACATAGCCTCAGAGGTCCGCAGTTCCAGGATGCCGCCAACGTCTGTACCACTGTCCACGGAATTGATACCAGGTCTAGACTGGATGCCGTTATGTTTTGAGCATCCCCTTCCCCTCGATAAGCTGTGCCATGTTTGCGGAGTGTTGTGCAAGGAAACGGTCGTGCTGCCTTGTTCCCACACACTTTGCGACGTCTGCTTCGAGGGCAGCCTTGACCTGGGCTGCGTATGTCCACTGGACCGAGAGAACTTCGACAAGGATGCGGTGGACAAGCTGAAGTTGAGACCGGGACAGTTGCTGAAACTGAGCGTGTTTTGCTGGAATTCTGCACACGGCTGCAACTTCATCGGGCCCGTCTCCGAACTCTTGGATCACTATGAAAAAGAATGCCTTCACCATAGGGCTTCTTGTCCTAGGTGTCATCAGGACGTGCCGCGGCTGGGCCTTGTGCAGCACTGCGTGCTATGCTACGACCCCAAACAAGGAGGGGAAGCTCCGTTGCAAAGTGCGACACTGCAGGGAGCACAGTTACGTGAAGACTTGGAGAAGGCCAGTGCGGAAATTAAGCAGTCTATTGCTGAACTCAAGGACGGCTACTATGTGCTGCAGGCCAGTGTAAACACCGTCGCGGATGAAGTCAATCTTGGACACGCTGCAGCAAATCGAGCAGTTACTGAAGCCGTGTCCGGCCTCCTGCAACAGCTTCAGGAGACGCAGCCAGATATGACCAAACTGGGAAGAGAGTTATGTGGAACTTTCGAGAACGCCACAGCCGATATGAAGCAGTCCATCTCTGAGCTCAAAGATGGCTACTCTAGGTTGCACGCTAGCGTCAACGCAGTCTTGGATGAGCTCAAGCTTGAGCATTCAGTAGGAGATCAAGCAATGGTTGAAACCATGTCAAACCTCCTATCGCAGTTTCAGAAGATGCAGCCAGATGCCACCCATCGGCAAGGACAGCTACTTGAAGACTTGAGGAGGTCTTGTGCTGAGATCAAGCAGGCCATTGCTGATCTCAAAAACGAATTCTCTAGGCCGCAGACCAGTATCGGCGCATTCAAGTATGACGTGAAACTCGAGCACTCGTAAAAGAGGCAAGTAATGGCTGAAGAGGTCTGACATATAGTTTCCGCCTCTCAGGATGTGGCGTTTGGGTGTAAAAATGGCATATATTTTTTCTAATCTAAACACTGAGACAGGGAGAAGTAAATTAACGAAAGAGACATGTGAGTTGTTTTCTTTCTCCCTGTCTCAGGGTTTGGATGATGATGCTTTTAGCTAGCTCGAATGCATACTTTCGCTTCTTGCAGAGTTTCGACCGCGAAAGTCACTTGACTATACTCGAGGACAATTTTCTGTTTCTGCTAATCGGCGTTTTCAGGTGCATAATCTGCTGCAGAGTTTGCGGATCTGGTGTAATTTTGCGCTTGTTGTGTGCATGTTAGTAAACCAGTGCATTGGTCAAAATTTCGTGAAATCTGAGGAAAAACGACTCGTGACCCTGCACCCTAAAAATGGGGTGTTCACGGGTACTCATTTGAGAGGAGTCAAACAATGCCCCATGTGACCCTCTTGGTGAGTCATCTGATTCTCCTAAATCGGGGAATAATAATACTGCCCGTTTATGGGGTTTACTGGCCCTCATTCGAGTCCTCCTGGGACTCCTTTGACTCCCAGGCATTTACGTGACTCCCGATATTATGGGCGATATAAAGCACGCGCCCTCTACCAGACTGAACGCTGATTAAAGCTGTGCGGGATCTCTTCACATTTCGATAATGATGCAGAAGGTTGCACCCGAGCACAGTTTTAATTCAGCCTTCGCAGCAGACTCTAATTCGACCGTGCTTGTAACGGGGGGGGGGGGGGGGGGGGGGGGGGGGGGGTTAGCTAGCTTTCCACATCGCCGAACGAAAAAAAGAAAACCACAAAGTAACCCAAAATTGAAGAAGAAACAAATTAGTACTTTCATTTGCCTGAATTCTGGCCGACAGCTGCCACGTTTTTTGCGATATCAATTTGCCGTCACTCGTCGTCGTCAAATGTAAAGTACTTCTCGCCCCCTAATTTAAACAAAAAGAATGATGATGATTCAAAGGCAAAGAGGTTAGCCTAAAAGCGTGCCTCTAGTAGACTAATCTACACGGAGGTTTGGATAGCAGGAAAAAAGATTGGCAAGACGAAATGATATCGGGAATGGTACGAGTAATACGATGAGGTGATCAGAGTGACATTCTCTCACACTTGTCAGTGCCAGTCTTGTGTCTCGCTAAAAGGTAATCAATGCGTTTGTTGCTTTTGCGGATCACTGAACTGAGACCCAGCCACCGTGCACAATCTCGGCGGCAAATGGCCTATCATCCATGGTTGGCGTTGTCATCTCAAGGGCCTGTCTCTCGGTGGCGTGAAGAGTACCTCTGGCGAGGGGACGCGATCCTCCTTGCCTTCGAGGTCATTTGATATCGAACACCTCTTTAAAAGAAAGCGTCTGCTGAAAAATGTGTAACATGTGCACCTATACGGCCCATACTCCAAATTTACCATTTGCAAAATCGGTGAGAACAAAAACTTCTTTTAAAAATTAAGCACTGCATTTTTTGGTTTGTTCGTCGCATCCTTCTATAAACGGCCATTTTAATGCGAAACAAGAAGTTGGTTAAAGTCGAACATCTATGTCCGTACGGTCAGAGTGCCGAAACTACATCGGCAGGCCCGCGCTTGTGTATTGCGATCGCGATATACGCTCAAGCGGCAAAAAAATTTCAATATTTTCGCCACCGAATGCAACGAGATATAAAACCTCCGCGGCGAACTTGAGCAATTAAAGTTCCTACTTGTAGAAAAAAAAGCATGGAATTCACGCCGTTTTATAGGACACACCAAAGTATATTTTAGAAGAAGAAAGCTCGACTAATCTTCCAGGAAAATAAAATAGACTTATCAGTGGACTTCCCATAAATATTATGCTCGGGTCTTGGCTTGGGAGATCTCAACATCTGTTAAAATCCGAGGTCGTATTTGTACTAAAACTCTTTCCTCGAATGAACACGCGAAGTACATTCGCGTAAAGATTTGTAACGCTCTTGGAATATTATCCAAAATTCGCCATCTGTTCCTTAAGCCAGTGAAGTTTCTTTTATACTATTCTTTGCTTTATACTCACTGTGTTTACTGCCACCTAGCTGGGGGCCTAACGACTAAGAAATATTTAACACCGATGTTTCTGGCACAAAAACGTATTTTCTTTCTTGGCAATCGTTTTTTTGTTTTTGTTTTTTTTCGTGCTTTGGGGTAATTGAGGGGTAATTGTTTTAATAACGACTTTTTCCTCTCCGTGTTGTCAGGTTTGGAGAAAGAATTACCGGAAGGGGCTTAAGCTTCGCCTTTAAGAGTGGAACGCGATTGCTAAACAAAAAACCCCACTTGTTCATAAGCCGTGCAAGCGTGCCTGCCTGGCCTACATTCTTCTTCTGGCAACGAGAGCGATCGAACGCATAGTCGATGAGCTCCTTCGGAGCGGCGATAACGGCCCACGCCGGCCGTGATGACTCGGCTGTTTCGAGCACCGAAGAGTAAAGGATGCCTCCTCCTTTGTCGCCCTTAGAAAAAGCAATAAAACGTGCAGTTGTTCTGCACGGTGACGTCGCTTGTCGGCCTTACCGTGTCGAGGACTTTCGAAAACTTCTCGACGACGCCGGAGTTCTGAGGAAGTGGCCAGGATTGGGACATTTCACATGTCGTATGTTTGGTTGGTGGACCTCGGGACGGACGCGGTCAGGACAAAGCTCCTTGAGGCGGGGCGGCTCACCGTCAAGGGCCACGGGTGCGTCGTCTTCGACCCGTTTCGTCAGGAGCTGCGGATCAAGCTCCGTTAGGTGTCGTTCGGTGTCAGGTACGACGGCGCCATCCACCGTGCCTTTGCAGGGTACAACGACGTGGAAGACGTAGCACGGGAGTGGTGGAGGGTGGCGGGCGTTGACGGCGTCGAGTCGACCACCAGGAGCGTGCGCCTGGCTCTACGGAAAGGCGTCGGCCTCGAGCACCTGCCGCACCAGCTTCGGCTCGGGGGTGGCACGGCGCTCGTGGTTGTGCCTGGGCACACGACGAGCCTTTCGCCTAAGGTGTGGCAGGATGGGCCGCATGCGACGGAACTGCCGGGCCCCCCGGTGGGCCGAGTGCCGTGCCTTCGGGCACCAGCAAGCCGACCATGTCCGCTCTTTTACGCCCAGTCCGCAAGACGAAATGCGAGGGACGACCAGAACGACCACCTCATGGAGGAAGATTAGGCTGAGAAGGTGGCTGCTCCCACACGAACCCCGACCGAGCAGGCAAAGAAAAGTGACGACGAGCCCGGAACCAACCCCGCAAGTGCGAGCGCCCCGATCACGACGCAGGGTGTAGCCCGAGGCCCCTCCCTTTCCACCGGAGGTTCTTCTAACGGCGGCTGAGCACCAGCCGGCCTTGCCGACGGAAACCAAACAGGCAGGCGCGGCTACAATTTCTGACGGGAAACACTCCGGTTCAGCGATGGACGTCGAGCCAGGCTCTGCAAAGCGCCAGCGGGAAGACGTCTCGGGTGTCTTCCAGCAACGTCGGCCGCGCCAGTTTCAAAAGATGTGGAAGATCGTGGACTGCTGGGCGGGTGCAGATAGGCAGCTGCGGTCTTCAGCACCAAAGCGTCGCCACAAACTGTCGCAGTGAACTGGCGTGCAGACGGACAGCCCCGTGTGACGACGTCCTGTCGTGGTACGCGCCGTAGCTTCGGTCTGGACCCGGCTAGCTCATGGTCTCCTTAGAAAAGCCTATCCGACTGGCGACTCTCAATGAACGAGAACTCGCCGACCGTAGGAGGCAAAGGCAGCTTTATCGCGTCGTCGTCGAGCAAGACTTGGGTATGGTCGTGGTCCAGGATACCAAAGTAGAGAGCGGGGGCCCGACGGAATTTATGGTGCTCCCGTACACAGCCCGGCATACAACGACTGCGTAAGCCACGCGGTAGAAACGTCCGCAAGCTGTATCCTCTTTACCCGCCAGAATTTAGGCGGGACGGTTCAAGGGTGACGACGTGTACGTCTGTACGATTCGTTGTTCGTGACTTTTCGTTTTCTTCCAAGGAATGGCGGGTTGTTTTCGTTTATGCTCCCACTAGAGTAATTGGGCGGCGGGCGTTCTTTGATTGTATTCAGCGATTTTTCAACTGCGCGAGCGGCATCTAATTTTACTTGGAGATTTTAACGGCGTGTTTTCCGTGTCCCACAAATTGAGCTCTCTGGCCTATAGTGATATGACCACGGGAAGAATCTGCAGAATGACGAACGCGTTTGGCCTCGATAACGTTGAGGAATATCTAAGAAAAGACTGCGATGTTCAGTTGACCTGCTTTGAAGGGGCCAGTCAGGCCCGTCTGGACCGCGCTTATGAGTCGGTAGAGTTGATACCTTTATATTCCGAATATTAAGTGCTCTCTGTTTCTTAAAGTGACCATTGTCTGGTTTCTTTTTGCATCCGTAGTAAGTTGGAAAAGAAAAAAAGTGTTTAGATAGGATTTTTGGAAAATGAATGCGAGGGTGTTGGCAGATCAAGTCCTCTCTGCTATCGAAAAACTGAATTACGGAAAAACTTCATAGCATGAAGCGAACTGGGAGCTGTTTAAGCAGGGTGCAAAAGAAGATGGTTTTAAAGAAAGCAAGTATAATCAACTACGAAGAACGAATAAAATGTCATTACGCAACACTTTCCAAACTTTGTTGAAAGAAGAGAGTAGAACCCCGGGCGCGTTCACAGACGACATTCTTCTGTGAAAGATAAACTCGAGAATGCAGTCAGGGACCGTTATCGCGGGGCGATTGTGAGAGCGAGAGCCGAACATTGGACCACGGACGGAGCGCCAACTAAACGTGCGCTGAGCCTAGAAAAAAAAAATGTTTGTCGCAACGAGATAACTGTAGTAGAAAGTGAACAAACAGCCACGTGCGAAACTGATAAAATTGAGCTTGCCTTCTGAGCACTATAGAGCAGCTTACTGTAGCCCTCTCCCGTTAACGTGGACCGGTTTAAAATAAGTTTTTGTGTTTTAGGCCGCGAATCGA